TATATCTTCCTCTGGTTGTGTCTCTGGCAGCAGCAGCACAGCACACAGCCAGAGAAATGAACCTGGCTCCACTCAGTTTGGCTCTGAGAGAAAACCAAGCTCATGTGATTATGATGAATGTGTGGCACAAAGATATGCAATTTCCCTGTCAAGGTTACGGTGCAAGGTGTTTTTAATGAGTTTTCCTAAGACTTGAAGAATCTCTTAATGCATCCAGGCAGCACTTGCTAGATTATCTCACTGTGCTCGTTTTTGTTCTTTTCTGTTCCTCTTTAACAGAAGATCTCTGATAAAAGTATGTGGGTCTTTGTTTCCTTTTTGCCAAACAGAAGGATGTGCAGGAAGCATTTCCCAGCCCTGCAGCCAGAAACGTTAGGAATTAAAGTGGCTGTGATGACCAAAGAGCAGCTACTTAAAATAAAACAGGACCTATCCAAGAATAATAATTAAAAAAAGGTTTTAAAGCACATATAAAAACTCTGGTTGAATTTAGATTTTTAGAATATGAATAAACTCAACATTTGTTCCGTCTCCATCATCCTCAGCTCAGTAGATATCAGTAAATGATTTTACCTCAGGGATCCCGGGGTCCATCTGTAAGATGTTAAACAGCTTGGAAACTTATCCACTTCTTTCCAAATTCATACTAGAACATAAACGCGTGCTCATCTAGAGCAGCAGGAAAAGTCCTCTGAATAAATCACAGGTGATCTCTTCAGGACTCTTCACAGACTTCACTTTAATCCCTCATCTGTCATACCAAACTTCTGCATATCCTCCTCCTCTGCATCTATGAATCTGTCTTTTCCTCCTCCCTGGTGGCTTCATGTTTTACATCCTTTATCCATTGTGTCCTCCTTGTTTTTCCTCTCTTCACATGCAGACCTCCACGTCTCCAGGTTCTCTTCCACCTGCTCCCTACTCTCACTGCAGATCATGATCTGATCTGCAAACATCATGGTCCATGTGGACTCCTGCCGGACATCATCTGTCAACATTATTTTAAACACAAAGGGTCTTAGAGGTCATCCCTGATGCCCCACCCTGGATCCTCTTATTGCACATTTTGCACTTGTCTTATTGTAACCTGTAAAATATTATGGACAAGTTGCTTTAGAAGAATGACAAAGTAAACAAACTAAATTAATAAAGAGAAGTGCAATATAAGTAAGCTTCAAAACTCATAGATGTTGATCAGTAACAGTTTCTTGTCGTGAAACTGGATCATCTGATGCAATTTAAACCCAGCTGGGAAAAAGTAAAGGAAAAATTCATTTAGAGCTCCTCAGATGACAACCTGCCTCTCTGTGGGACATTTAAAACCTTCTTTAAATGTGAAGATGATCATAACGCTGCTACACCTTTATACTCATTACACAGTCACCTGATCTAATTTACCTGCCTTAACATTCCTCTCTGACTGTCGGATAGATCACAGCATGTTATCAGGGTGTGACATCTGTGCTCTGCTGTTTCCATAACCTTGTCCCTCAGTCTGGCATGAGACCAGTCTTGTTTCAAATTTTCAACCTCCAAGCTTACGTACCATACTCGTCCACCGTTCCCACCATGTACCACCATGGACCCGGTACCCTGCTACAACCATAGAGGTTTTCTTCAGACCATTATTCACCAAGAGCCCACAGAAACCATCCATGCTCTGGCAGGTTTTGTAACGGGGGTTCTACAGTATCTTTGATCACAAGGACCTGAATAGAACAGATCAGTTTAGATTCACTAGCAAGGACCACACCATGGTAAGAGTTTAAAAAATTTATTGAAGGAAAGGGGTCAAAGGGTAGTGGGGATGAAGGAAGGGGTCGAAGGGTAGTGGGATGAATGATGAGGCGTCTGGGGAGGTACGTCGAAGGAGTCTTGAGAAGAAGACTCAGAGTGGGGCATAGTCTTCAGGAAGGATGCTTTCCTGAGCCTGCTTTGGATCCCCCAGCTGGAACCTGAAAAAGAATGGATTAGGAGGTAGTTTGAGGTAGGGATGGAGGAGAAAGAAAGAAGCAGAGATGGGGGGATGAAGGGATAAAGGGATGAGGAAGGGATGAAGGGATGAGGGAGGGATGAAGGGATGAGGAAGGGATGAAGGGATTAGGGAGAGATGAAGGGATGAGGGAGGGATGAAGAGATGAAGGAATGGAGGGATGAAGGGATGAGGGAGGGATGAAGGGATGAGGGAGGGATGAAGGGATGAGGGCGGATGAAGGGACGAGGGAGGGATGAAGGGACAAGGGGGATAAAAGTGTGAGGGAGGGATGAAGGGACGAGGGAGGGATGAAGGGACGAGGGGGGATAAAAGGACGAGGGAGAGATGAAGGGACGAGGAAGGGATGAGGGGGGATGAATGGACGAGGGAGGGATGAAGGGACGAGGGGGATAAAAGG